TTTACCCCCGAGGTCACATTGTGCCTTATTTGCAGTGAGCGAGATACTGGTTCAGAAGGCCTAAGCACACTTACTTGGGAGACAACAGATGCTAATTCCAGCACTGCAACACTTCGTGCAGCTTGTCACCTTAGAAAACCACTTCAATACATACCATTTATATCCTGGCTAAGACGACAACGAAACACCCAGAGTAAGGACTACCTGAAGGTGTATTCACACAATACCTGGAGCAACATGGATGCAGAGTCTGCCCAGGAACACAAATCTGCAGCAAAGGTACTATTTTAAGCTGCTTTATTAAACATGAAGAGCAGTCACTGGATACTGCAGCACAAGAGCTACCTGAGGCAGACACTCACAGATATTAATCAGATTTAATTTTGTAAGTAAAAGCATTAAACCATATTTACTTTTCTGTGTGCTGATAAAGTTTAATGGGCCTGAAAAAAGTACAGACACTTTAACGCAGCACTTCTTCCAGGCTGACATATCCTGCTCCTCAAAAGGGTAACATTAAAATGGCTATACTGGTTTTGGTACCCTGTCACTGCTATGTGCCATGGGGGCTCGGGCTGAGTTTTGCTTCCAGGTCTGCCCATTGTTCCTTTGTAGCTGGTTGACCATCCACAGCTCTTCCCTCCCTGACCTCAGACCCTCTCTGCCCCTCAAGCACCCTCAACTGGAATTCCCTGCAACTCCTGTCAGCACCTCTGCATTGACTTAAAAGTCCTCTCAGACATCTGTAAAATGAAAGAGATGGAAAACGTAAATAGCACCAACCAGCATGACAGATGTCAATTACCAAAGGCAGGGAAAACATACCTTTAGCAGTACTTGCCAAGTTGAAATGAGGCAACTTCAAACAGCGTTACAATCCATGGAATCCAACTGGCCAGAAAAAGCCATGAGATACATTGAAACATACCTTGAAGTGATTTAACTAATCTGCTAATATCAAACACACCTATGTATATGTAAAACCCTTCAAATGAATGAAAAACAAAAACCCCACAAGACTGGGTATCAGCTGCCTCATTAACAATCTCACTTTGAAGATCAATTTTAAGCTTCAGGGTAAATCAAATTTTAATTTACACCTGTGAATATGCAGGTAGGCAAGATTAGGGCAGGTTTTTTTCCACGGAAGCTGCTGATGGTGTATTAAGTATGTCTTCACATTAATCTCCCTTGTAACACAAGGAGCATAGTTACTCTTCTCACCTACTTTTTCAAGTTCCTGAATTCTAGCACTTATCTACAAAGGACATTCAAATGCAGCAGGGGCAGAATGATAGCATGCAAAAAGCAAAGCCATTTACACATCTCCTTTTACATACTGTTCAAACCCAACTTACAGTATGTTTATATGTGATATATGTTTACATTTGGGATGCACAATTCTTGCTTTCATAAAAGAATGAATTTTTAATGCACAAAATATCATGTAAACAGCTATTAAATCAGACAAATCTCTTTCATGCTTCAGTTAGAATTGATGTGGATAAAAACATTCAAAACTTCAGATATTGAAAGACTTAAGTCAAATGAGAAAAACCTGAACTAAAACTCACAAGCACACACCTCCCCAAAAGGAAACTTCACTAGCATTTAAAGGTATCCTCAAGTATCTATTTAATTTAATATTTTGTGAGTATTCTCTTTAATAACCATAGTGAGAAATAATACCAGATTCCACTGCAGACTATCAAGTTCTGCCAGCATGTATGCCAAACAGATGTAGCTTGAATAATACAAACTGCTAGATATATCTTGTCAGAGTTCAAAAGTCAAAATATCTGAAGGAATTTTGTTTTTAAAAATCTCTGGTACCAGCAAAAACCAGCACACACTGCTATATATTTAGCATTATTAGAGAATTAGCAATGTAACTTGACTGAGTCCCCCATCCAAATGATGTTTTTGAGATGATCAGACCCACAGAAATAAAACCTTTTGGCAATAGATCCATCAGAACTACTTTCCCTGTGTTTTTCCTCGTTAGGCTGAAATCAAAAAGCATTGAACTGAGGGAACTGAACTGAGGGAAAAAGAGACTAAAGTTTGGGTTGATACGCATCTAAACGGAGAGACAGCAAAGGAGGAAGCAAAAGCTGAAATGAGCTGGTTGGGAAATTCATTTGTGTATTGAGTCACCATAAAACACTGAGTACTTCACATTCAGGGCTCTTCCTACTTCAAAAGCTACAACATGAAGAAAATACAGCAAAATACAGGTTATCCAACTCATCCAACCATAGGGTTTTACCATAGGCAGAGCTCCAGTTATGCCCTCTATTTGAGTTGCAAATGCAAATGTGAAGATAAACATTGTTACTGTTGCAAAATTAGAAGGACCTAAACCACATAGAAAGAAAGATGCACCAAAAGGGAAAAGCCAATGTTTGGGAACAGCAGTAATGGCACACAAGGTAGAGAAAGAACAAGGACTGGAGTTGATGGAAATAAGCTCTCATACTTGAACACTTGGTGTCTGCAAAGGTAATCATCTCTTGGCACGTGTGTGGACGTGTACATCCATGTAAACACTTTCTTCTTTCAAAGCTAATGCTGATGCAAACAGATTACAGAATAGCCAGAGTGCTTCTGCTGACTGATAAAACGCTTTCATCAGCTAGATCAACGGGTCTTAAAACAACAGGCCCCTTTCTGTAAAACTATAAGCAATTACAAATAAAATGCAGCACCCAGCTTCACAACACTTCAGTCATCCTACAAGGAACTAACACTGTCCCTCCAGAACAGGCATCTGCTTCAGCATTTGCATATACGGTTCCCAGAAGAAGCATTTGGCTCACGCAATGATAAGCCAGCCTTATGATTTAAAATACACCAACCTTCCCTGCTTTTGTCATGGAAAGTGCTATACAAGTCTTGTATATTCCCAAAAGTTGAACATGAACTTTGCTGACTTTGGTTAATCTGTTAACTGAGAACCCTCTAAACAGTGTGAAGCATAGCCAGGTGTTTGATTAGACAATCAAATACGTTATCTTATAAACTGGATAAGTAACAGGCAAAATTTAACAAAGAATTGTTCCAAGTTAGATAACTCAAAAGGATAACCTGGAGCCCATTAAAATCCCCACATCAGAGAAGAAAAACACCAAGTTTGTTTGGTTTTGTTTTCTGAATATGGTTGTTGATACCAAGAACAAAATACATCTTTATGAAACTGTGCCCTAGTAAGTAATAGGGAGTTTTGTCATCATCTTCAGTGTGGCCAGGATTTTATCCCTGCCCACAGCAAGCTAGAAGGATTTATATTTGTTAAAGGACCAATGTGCAACCTCAGAGATGCTCCAAGGCAATAGACTACTTATATGTAAATACTCAAATAGGCACAAGTGGAAGTTGGGTTGGGAGGCAGATCAGAATCACCAGCTAGCTTGGAATTTTGGTTCTTTGCCCAGAACATCACTTTCTAAAAATAAAAACAAAATTCCCTTCTATCCTTTCAGTCAGGGAAGACAGAAAGACAGAGGAGCTATACAAATTTGGCAGGCCTGGATTTACAGAGCTCCTTTTGTAAAGGATATGTTTGAAGAGGTAAGAGACAAGACACGACACTTGTTGCACATGGTCCAAATAACACAGCAGAAAGTGCAAAATACCCTTCAAAAACCCACACAAGCCATTTTTGTTTGAGAGTAGGAGAATTTCAGTTGTTGGGGTATCTGAATGCAAGTTCTATTAGCCTGCCAGCACAGCCAGAAGACAAGTCTCAAGGATTTTGGTAGGGTTTACTTTGTTTTCCCTTGGGGGAGGGAGAAGAAATAGAAGAGAGCATGCTCAAAGGAAAGACATGTTAGAAATCAAAGTTAAATACTGCCTTGGGTCTCATCCTTAGTTTATTCCACTTTCTGGAGTGTTTATTATTTTATGTGAGTAGATTACCCGTAACTTACAGAAGGTGTGCATATAATGAGGAACTTCTTATCAGAATGTAAATATTAGTTTTAAAAAGGAAAAAAAAATAGTGTTCCCTCTTGTCATTCTATGACTTGATACTTGCTCCATCAGCTGCTACTACTCCTGTTAGCCAGAAATGGAGGGAAACAGAAGTCTGGCTGAGCTTGCACACTGCTAATGGGAATGTACACTCTTCACATCAGCAATATTATTTTCTTACTCTCGAAGTCAAATATGAAGGACACATTAGGAATTCAAGAAAACGTTACAAAACCTCTAAGGTTAGAGGTGACCAAAAGCCACTCACTCAGCAGTGATATATGCACTTTGGATTTGCTCTTCAGCAACAGAGCCCAGGGACACAGTGACCATGGGGAATGCCCTACCGCTGCAGGGACATCTGCACACAATGCCCTGGTCACTGGGCATCCAACATCAGAGAGAAGCAGCCTTTTGTTTCCTTCCAACTCAGCAGCCTGGAAAGATTGCCAGCTGCACTCTTTTGGCCTCCATACTCACCAACAAGCTTAGACTGTTACCCAGAGAAGCTCACAGCCCAGGAAAATTAAGTCTGACATTACTGGTCAAAATTAAAGAAAAGGAAGGACAAGCAAGACTTTCCTCAAAGATACAAGTACAAGCTACTATCATTATCTGGAGACCCCAAAGGCCATAGCATCAGCTCTATCTTCAGCAACCCTACGCTTATTTATACCAGCTGAATGTCAAGCCTTTTACATTTACTTAAGGTACAGAATCATCAGTGAATACAAATTTCAGTAAATCTTGCTTTCTAAAATATTATTCATCAACATATAATTCAAATGGTAATTAAGAAGTGTTCACATGATTGATGACACATTTAAATTACAGGTTTCCAGCATTTTTTTCAGTAAAGAAAAGATTACTTCCTTTTTCACGTGCCGCTTTTTCGAAGCGCAAGTCCATCTAACAGATGTCTCACAGATCTGCTTGTCAATGTAACAAGTTAGACTTTTTTTTTATTACGACAAATGGTATAAACCACACAGCATTCTGTTAAACTCAATATTGACACATCTGCTTACCACGTGTATTAGTAGCCATGTCAGCCACTTTCTGAAAGGCATCCAAAAAGGCAGCAGCTGCTACTACTGTAGTCCTGAAATGCATACAGATAACAAAACATTAGCAGTGTCTCATTGCTGCCTATTTAATTATTGCCAAAAACATTTAGGCTTATAAAGAATACCACTGTGAACTTTCAGAGGCCACAAAAAATATCCTCTTTTATATCTGAATTTAGCCTTTTCCCTCCTTCATTTCTTAATCCCTTCCTCGCTTTGTGTTAGCACTATGGACTTGGAGGCAGCCACGCTAATTCCGTGCTGTGAATTGCGCAGGACAGGTGCTATTTCAAAAGAGCACAGCCATCCCCCTTCTAGCTGATTTCCTCTGATGAACTAATATTAAGCAGTCAAACATGAAAAACAAATCTAACACACATTATACTGCACCCATTAGTGTAGAAATTACAGCCACTGCTATTTCCAGGGAACATGTATATTTTAAGAATAATCATGCAGGACCATCCTTTTATTTAGCATCCTGGCCAAACACTTCCCTGAATTTCTCATCTGAGGAGCATGAGCATCCCTTGAAACAGAAAATAACTTCTTGGAGATCAGACCGGTCTGGAGTTCTTGGGCAAATGGAAAAGAGGGAAAAGAAAAATAATTTCCAAGTTAAAAAAAAAAACAAACCAACCCCCAAAATAAACAAAACAAATGAAAACCATTTCTGAGCCAGTGCTCCTCCAATCATGTCCCTTCCTGAGAGGTACACCAGCAGTCTCGGAGACACCACAATCCAAAGTGTCAGCGCCACTGGCCCCATCTCCCTCCAGGTTTGGAAAGCACATACAGACCACACGTCTGTTCAAGTGGACAGCAAACATGAGTTACAGTTTTCCAGACAGGTTTGTTCTACATAAGCAGGCCCTAGAGCCCTAAACATCTCAGGTGGGTACCAGATTTCTCATGGTTTATAGTCTGGTTGACCCAATTTAAGTGAAAGTAGGCCAGGGCTCTACAGGTAAAGTGCAACTGCGCCCTCTCCACAGTTACCTCCCGGCTAGTCGTTCTGTTTCTGCACATCTTTTCTAACAGTAACTCTGATTTCCTCTCCTGACGGTAACAGTCAGCCTCTCCAAGCAAAATCCTGAAGTAAGACCATCAACCTCACTTTGTTTCAAGAGCTCCTTGCTACCCTCAAAAAACCCCAGGAGACCTGCAGGAAAGCTGATCCTCGGCCAGAAAGACCACAGGACTGCTTAATTAGGTCAGATTTTATGCAAGTCTTGCTTCAAATATGCACAAGATACAGAGGACATAACTGGCAGCATAGTAAATGGCCTACTGACAGCACAAAAGATTTGAACACAAAAAAAAAAAAACAGGCTTGAGAGGACCAACCAAATGCATAAGGACTCTCCACATGCCCAGGAGATTAAAGGGAGGGCAAAAAGAACCCTGACAGCTAGCTAGCAATATTGAGCACTGGAACCAGATAAACTTTTCTGGGATTTTCTGTAACATTTGTGTTCTTCATGTTCCAAACTTGTGGGTCATGCTGTTATTCGTGTACCATCTTGTTAATTATTAATTATATTGCTAATAACAAAGTTCCATTTCTCCAGTAACAAGATCCAGGAAGACCTGGCTCCAGCTCAGATGACATCTGCTCTCCTTTATCAGAGCACACAGAAATGAACCAGAGGCAAGAGACTAACATTTGCTAGAAATGAACAGCAAATCCTCAAACACAGGCTTTCAAGCTGCCTGCTTGCATGTTCCTGTAGCTAGAAAAGCACTACACTGATTGAATGCAACACCACAGGACCGGGAAATAAACAAAACTATCCGTCATGCCTTCCCAGAAGGCCTGTGTTTAGAAAGTACAAAGGGCTAGGAAAGTTCACAATTTCTCTTCTTTCTCTACTTCCTCTGCTTCTTCCACGCTCACTCAATGTGACATGATTGCTGGAAACGGAAAAACCACATGAAAGTGTGATATTTTAGGCATGGCGTGGCAGAATAGCATATTCCAGCTGTTTAGGGCAAATGAGCTTAAACCCTAGCTTCTTCAGGAACAGCTCAAAACGCAATGCAGAACCACAAAGTAGACTGCCAATAACCATACCTGTTAACACTGCTGCTGCTGTGAAAACAACGCTGATGCTCTGGAGAGCACAGGGCAGAGTTGTGAAGAAATGGAGCTTGGATTCATATTAGCAGAAACAGATTTTACAAGTGAATGAATTCTAGAGATAACAGAATTGGTCTGAGTGTGATACCTATTGCACTTAAGTAATCCAGAATGCCATTTGCAAAGCATACCCTAATAATGTAAGTTTTAATAATCACTGATAAATGATCCAGCACAGGAATTCCCTTCGTTTTTAAGGCAGAGGAAGTGCTGTTAAGACTGCCAAAGACTCTTTAATATTTTGAGCCCTCTCCTAATATAAACCTGCTGTATTCTACACTAATAAGAAGGACAACATAGGGCTAACTCCAAATGCGTGTTCACTAAGCAGTAATAAACTGTCTTTCCAATTTTCCATCAGAAGCCATGAAATTTAGCTCATTTTATGTTTATGTACAGCTGATGGTAGATTACATATTTACCTAAATACATTAAAACAGGAGTAGTAGTATGTGAAAAATAACACACATGGGTGTTGACTATGAAATATGCACAATTTTACTAGGACATGCTTAGCAAATTATCCTGGCGGAAGCTGCATTTAATCTTAATGTTTGCACATACAAGGAATTGTAGGGATCTTGACCGTGTAGCACAAAACTTACCGAAGCTGAGACTGCAGTTTCCCAGCTTTATTTATAAAATCTTCCCACACTGGGTAACTTCCCTGCAAGAAAAACAAAACACAATAATGAATACTTAATTTGAGCATTCTATAATGAATACTTAATTTCAACATTCTGGTTTTGATACTCCAGATCAAATGAAACTAGAAGTAAAGCAAGAACTAAGACTTCACTAAATCCTAATCCATTAACACGAAAATATATTTTCGCAGCAAGTTCTCTCTCACATCCTTAGACACCAGTCCCAAGCAGATGGGATGTCAGCTGGTTCTGAATCCAGATAAAACAGTAGGTCCTCTGAGGAGGCTTTACAGATTTTCCACATAGAAACACTAGGCAAGAAGAGGGATTTCAACTGAAGCAGAGAAAAGAAATGCCTTATTTTGGACGGATACAGCAAAACCAAACCTATTACAAGTGGGGTGCTAGGATATTGCAATGACATATACAGAGAAGCTCCCAAAACCAAAGGCAGGATCCAAGTTGTTCTTCTCTACAAATGGATTCTCTGTGTCATTACCAGGTTCCCATCCTCTTTTTAAAGAAAGAAATAAAATAAAATTTTTTTTAAAGCCTTTACAATAAAAGTTTGAGTTGACCAACAGACCACCTCAAACACTGTCTCAAGGTAACTCAGCAATTAGGCACAGAAAAAACACAGCAGCCACAATACAATAAAATTCCCCAACAACTGCCCTATAACTGCAAGGCCTGCTTCCAAAACAGTCCCAAATGACCTTGGAGCTGATTTCTGAATTGAAGCTGATAAAGCAGCGTGGCATTGAGTGTACACAGCAAAGTTTTTAAGAAGGTTTAATTCTTCTTGACTTCAGGTTTCCTGTAAACTTTTTCCCCATTTTTAAAATTGTGTTAAAAGCCCAGGCTTTCATTTAGAATATGGACAACACGTATTCTTGCAAGTTCTGATCTTTATTTTCCAAAGTTAAAAAAAAAGTACTGATTTTCATGGTTAAAAAAAACCCCATCATTTTTAGACCAAAAAAAGGTTAACTTGCTCTCTGCAGAACAAGTGCACATTTTCTGTTAACAGCAAAAACCGTGGTAGAAAGAAACCTCAAAATCTCCCTTTGATTGGAGTCTAGAGAGTAAAATAAAATATCCCTCCTTCCTTTAATAAAGGTATAAGAATTGCTGTTACCAGAGCAACGACACAATAAAACCCAGATAAGGCAGATCCTCGAGGCTAACATTACCCCAGCTCTGACTGGAAGAGGTTGCAAGCAAGTGCAGTTGCTTGTAGCAAACTCGATCCACCCAGATAAACTGGTCTGCTTTTTCTAAGTAAACAAAATCCATCGCCCACACTGCCATGAGAGGCCACATCTTGTTCAGGGCAAAGGCAGCCCCTTCCCCAAAAGCTTGACAGCCAAATTCCAGCTCCTTGGTACATCCCAGCAAGGCAGCTCCCAGATATCCACTGGGAAGCCTACTGGTACTCTACATATTTTTTAGCAAGGCTTGCGGGGTTTTTGCTAAAGAAAAAAAAAAAAAACAACCCACCAAAAAAAACCCCAAAACCACAATGTAAAACAGGTGTTCATAAAATCTCATTATACCTACACACAACAGAGCCAGTGGGAAATGCAGAAGGGGAAAGAAAAAACAGCAGTTATCTGGGTGGCGGAACCTAGAATATAAAGTGCTTTGTGCTAAGCAAAAACTGTCAGACATTTTAAAAATGAAAGAAACCTGCCAATTATTTGAAAGAGGAAAAAAAATACGCTATTTCCTTAAACCTATTAGTCTTCCTGAAATCACCTACTCTGAGCCCTGTCTCTCAACGTTTGTCTGCATGCCATATATGCATTATGCATGTGTATGCCAGAAGCCCTGAAAGCCCTGACAATTAACAGCAGGGCCTAAGGCTTTACTGGATTCTCTAGCAAAACGCAAGCCGGCAAGCAGAGGATACCAAAGCAGCCTGATTATGTTTCCATCTCGGTGGTATATTATCCAGCTAAACATGCCTGATGGCATGCAGGAGATTGACACCAGCCTTGCATTTAGCTGCTTCACAGGGAAGCTTAAGACACTCCTATCAAAACACAGCTCAGGAAGAAAACACCTTTCTTTTTTTTTTTTTTTGTGGCCAGCCTGGCCACAAAGCAAGGAAAATTGGAATAGTCACCAAGCATTTCCACAACTATTTCTTCTTTGTCTTTAAAAATGTTTTTCTCTTCAAGCCAAGCCTACTAAAATAAGCTGTGACAGCTCACTTAAATAGTTTGCTATATTTGTTTGGTTGAAATCAATGCAATCACTTCACCTGGACACTCCTACAATGGCCAAGAGCACGTGATGTCATTTTGAACAGGAGAAAAATGCAGCATTTTTAAAAAAAAGTCACTGAATTAATAACTTGGGTAGTGGGTTTTGTTGTGGGGGTTTTTTGAGGGGGAAGTGTTCAGCAGTTAAAGAAAACCTTTCAGTAGTTTTGCACCAGTGACATGAATTCCTGCATTATCTGCTCAGCTTGCTGTATCTTGATCTGTTCTCTGCAACTCTGAATTCTCTCTAATAAACTCAGCTGAAAATTAAGAAGTTCATTTTAGCTGTGTTCCAGTAGAATTTGCTTTCACTTTTCCCTGCTGAAGCCATGTCCACAAGCTCATCTCTCTCTTGGTAACACACAAGTCAAGTCTTGCACATAAATTCTGCCATCCCTTTGACCTTTTCCGAAAAACACTTTTACCACTACATCCCTTCTGAAACGAAAATCCCCTTGATTCCTACCTACAGCAGAAGTGCGCAATGCCTATCACTCCACAGGACCTAATAACTGGGGTTTTATCCCATCTCCAGCACCTAGGAAGCAAGGAAGTCATTTAGTGATGCTTGTGGGGACAAGCCAAGGAGATGACACAGGAATCAAACTAGTGCTGTAAATGCTGCAAGGCTCCAGCACCCTGGGGAGCAGCTCCTTCTCCAAGACCTCTTCGCGTACCACCTTCACCATGGCAGCCCCGCTGTCACTCCATGTCTCACCTCCATGTTTGCAATAATAGTTCTTGCTTTTGTCAAAGCGGCTGTCAAGAGAAACATTAACGGTGGTGGAAACCACACACTGCAAGAGCCATAGAAGTGCATTCTCGATTTGACACGTACCTCTTTCTCAATTTAAACACAAAAGAAACAGCAGGTGGAATTTGACTTCTTTGTCTAAGTGCTTTTGAACGTAAATCCACTTTCGAAGAGTAACAACACAGTATTTTTAAATGCTGTCTCTCCCATGGCTTCCTCTGCTCCTTCTGCAATTTCCGATTTCAACCAGCTGATAAAGGAAATCAATTTTCCCCCCTTTAAATGTCAGGGTTACTCAGGCCCTGGCATTATCTGTGAGAGCAGCAGGCCTCCTCCACCTCCAGCCCCGCTCGGAGAAGAGCTGCTACAGGAATCTGGGTCACAAATCCTCTTTTTAGCTCCTCACAGGTTAAAATAGAAATCGGTTACGGTGCGGGTTTGTTTAAATGGTTTTCTTGAAAATCGTTCATGGTTTAATCCAGGAACTATTTCCCCCAAAATAATTTCGTGCCCAATTATTTCTTCACCATCGGATGAAGAAATTTGACGTCTTCAGTGAAACTGGAGTTTCACCATTAGTCCACAGCGCTCCACGGTGCCAAGTCCCCTCAAGCTGCTCAGTGGGGCCTGGCCCTCAGCTGCTCACCCGCCCATCGAGGCCTGTCACCAGTAAGCCATAACATGCCATTATCCTACCCTATTGCTTAATTAGTCAGTTTATAGGTGATTAGTCACCTGATCGCAGGGCCTAGCTCCAGCTAATCTATGCTGAACACAGGCAGGGAACCACCTTTCAGCCTCAGGGCTGAAAAACAAAATGGTGCCTCGTGCCCATCACCCATGTAGCCAGCCTGCAATTAGGGACATGAAACAACTTTCCCTCCAGGACAGGCATCACAACAAGTGTTTGAAAAGCACCAGGCTCAGCTGTAAGTGCCAGACACCAACACCCAGACCCGCCAGCATCTGGCCAGACGGCATCCTCCATAGCTGCAGCTCCTGGGGCGGGAAGGAGAGGGGAAGCATCTTCACTCAGTGAAAGCCCATCCGACATCCAGACCCATGGATGTGGGCAGATGTTATAATTTTTGTCTGTCTTCCTCACCATTCAAATCTACTTTAACTGGCAATAAATTTCATCTCCCCCAGTTGAGTCTGGTTTGCTCATGGCAGTAACTGGTAACCAATTTCCTTGGCTTTGTCTCAACCCATGAGCTTTTTCATCTTATCTTCTCCCCTGTCCTGTTGAGAAGGAGTGAGAGAGCGGCTGTGTGGGCACCTGGCCAAGGTCAGCCCACCGGGAAGAGCAGGCAATGATCACTAACAGGCAGCTTTGGAAGGAGCATTTAAACCGCGGATGGAATGAAGAACTTTGTGTGTGTGTGTGTGAACCAGCACAGCCACCCTACAAACACAACTCTACAAGAGATTTATTGAAGTTTGTTTTTCCCTTCCTTTCAGGCCAGCAATCCTGCAGTAGGAGCAAGACAAGACCCAGACAAGAAACTCAGCGGTTTCTCAATAAAGGAAGGGTAGACTTGCAGCAAAGGATCATATTTACTGAAATTGTTATTGATTACATCTAATGGCAAGAATAGGCACCCAGATTGCTGTATTTAAGATTACAACTTGAATATCAGCAGTCTTGACAGTTTAAAACTGTTCTGTGACTCCTTCTGCTAAGAAGTTATGATTCTTCTTTTTCCATTAAAAGACACTTACTTCCTTTAATAATTTATTTCCATGCACCCCAACTCCCACAGACAAGACGCATCACATCTTCTAAAAACCCTTGACAGCGTTCTTTTAAGTGCTTTCATTTATCAGAAAGGCTTTTCAGCCCTATTATCAGCTTTTGCTGGGACACCGAGTACAAAGGCAGCAGAAACAGTTTGGTACCTTGACCATAGCAACAACCCATCTAAACTTTTGGGGCAGGGGAAAAGAGACAGAGAGTTGCTCTACAGTAAAGCAAATTCAGAATCTTATTTTGGCAGTC